CAATATTATATTAGGGGTGCCTGGATGGCACAGTCAGTTAAGTGCCGACTCTTGGTTTCAGCTCAGGTCCTGATCTCAGGGTCATGAGATCAAGCCCTGCTTTGGATCCCACGCTCCATGAGGAGTCTGCTTGAGACTTTCTCTCCCTTGCCCTTTGCCCTTCCCCCCCCAAAAATAAATAAATAAATATTTTTTGGAAAAAAAAAAAAATCACTCATGAACCACATATGAAGGGAGAAAATGAATAGTGTACACTTTCTCTTTGGAGTTCTTAACTAGTTGAGAAATACACACAGGAGTTAGATTGGGGTAAATAAATCAGCTGTCCCTGCCAGGTACCATCCTGGAGAGTTCACTACATGGAGAGGAAGACTTTGTGAACCCTGCAGGCAGGAGGGGAAGCCCTAGAGGGCCAGGCTGTTTGCTCAGGCCCTTTTCTTCCTCTCCAAGAGCACACCTTATGGTGAGGATTGAGGGAAGGACAAGTGCTTACAAAAGTTGCTGTTTTATGGGCCAGGAGGGATGCAGGGAAAGAATCCTATCAAATGATTGTTTTAGCTAGTGTTTCAATGAGACATTATCATTTCTCCTTTGAGTCACAGGGACACAGGAGATAAAATATGGATGTACCACACATGAGGAACCCTGCATAAAATACATGAAAAACTTAAAATACAGATGAAATTAGAGATTCAGTTTAATATATATGAAGTACTTATTGTGTACCAGCCATTGTGCTGGATATTGGTCTGTAAACATGAATAATATAAACATTTCATTCATGGGGGGACTTGCTTCCTTCTCTAATACGTTTGGGTATTTGCTTCCAGATCATTTATTGCTTGGGGAATTTTATTTTTATTTTTTTATTTTTATTTATTTTTTAAAAAGATTTTATTTATTTATTTGACAGAGAGAGGCACAGCGAGAGAGGGAACACAAGCAGGGGGAGTGGGAGAGGGGCAAGCAGGCTTCCCGCTGAGCAGGGAGCCCGATGCGGGGCTCGATCCCAGGACCCTGGGACAATGACCTGAGCCGAAGGCAGACGCTTAAGGACTGAGCCACACAGGCGCCCCTGCTTGGGGAATTTTAGAAGTAATGTGGAGATCAGAGAAATGTAAGATTGGCACACAAGGAGTCACTGCCAATTGAAAATGTAGGGAGGGCACCTCGGTCGAGCCCCTGCTCAGTGGGGACTCCGCTTCTCCCTCTGCCCCTCCCCCCCACTTGTGTGCTTGAGCACATGCGCACGCTCTCTCTCAAAAATAAATCTTAAAAAAAAAAAAAAGGATATGTTTCCTTAAAAAAAATGTATTAGAGAAAAAAATTAAAGCAGTTCTAAATCTAATATGTTAATAGGGAAAGAATAAATTTGGTTTTAAAAATCAGAATGTAGGGGTGCCTGGGTGGCTCAGTCGTTAAGCGTCTGCCTTGGGCTCAGGTCATGATCCCAGGGTCCTGGGATCGAGCCCCGAGTGGGGCTC